ATTACGTTTTGTGCGATAACTTCTTTTCGAGAAAGAATGGGAACGTGAAACAACGATAGTCGTGACCGCCTCGTCGAGATACGTCGATAGCTGCAGTTTTTTTTAAATTTCGGCGATATGCAACATTTTTGACGAAAATCATCCACGGAGCCCCCTAAACACGACATACCTCCCGCAAATTCATCCACGGAGCCCCCTAACCTTCCCCCCGGGACGCCCACCACCCTTCTCAGTGCCTGCTTTTGTACACTATGGACACCACATGATTGGATTTGTACAGATAGCACGAAGAAAAGTTGGTCGACGACACCCATAGGGAGAAATACCATCACTTCTATATAACTTTGACGAATCTCTGCACACACAAACGAAAATACTTATAAAGCAGTATTGTTTACTGCTGTATATTGCTAATACTCCGTATACAAGATCGGCACGAAGAAAGGGAAACACGCACCAAGCACACAACACAACAAACCTCGGCCAAGCTGTTAAGCAAAATTTTGTGCAGCACTAAAAGACACACATCACTACGCATCGTTCTCGGCCTCTTTTTCCTCTCCCTCCTGCTCCATGGCCCGCTTCTTCTCCTTTTCCTGCTTCCACTTCTTGAATGTCCTTCTCGCCCTCCTGACGGAGAAGGTTCGGCATTCCTGCGAAGCCGCCAACGCCTGCGCCGCCGCGGCGTCCTTTTCCGTTTGTGTTTTGCGCCCTCCCGTTGCCTCCACGACGACGGCATCCCCTCCCCTGTCAAAAAAATCTCCCATGGGGACGGCACATCAAAAAGTTGAACATCTCGGAAACCAGATTTTTCCCGACAAAAACCACAAATACCGACCTAGATATTGAGGAGAGGAATCGTTTGCCGCTCTTTATTTTGAAATCGGTCGGTTAGTTATCCCCCGAAAAACAATACAAGTTAGCCCTCTAGATCCGGTTTTTCTCTGATATCTCCGTGAATTTACAATATTTTGACCAAAAAAAAAATACCGACCTGGCAAATCCCGAGATCTGTTCAAATCCGTTGAGTTTTTTCGAATCGGCAAAGAACACACCCCTGCGAAAACAATTCAAGTTTTTCCGGTTTTGCGCCGATAAAAAGTCAAAAAAAAAAAAAAAACTCCGTCACGCGACGCGCCTGCAAACAGGGCGTTTTCCGGTACTTTCAGATTTCGGAACAACCACCTGTGGGCAGAGAAAAGTTGTCATTTGTGCTGGGAAAATTTTGGATTTTTTGGTGCTCACGGACTATACGTTACCCTTTGATTTTTGCTTTAGGCGGGTGTGGGAAGCGCCCTCCTATATGTCCTCCTATATTATGGTTTTTGTATAATTTTGATTGGTTTCCGAGGGCTCTTTTTTTCTCGAACGGTCGGTGCGGTACCTGTTATTTCCTTTTTTCATCTTGTTTTCTCTTTCCGAGTGGTTTGTACCCTATTTTGGTTTTGCTTCCCCGAGGCGTCGTACGTGCCGGGTTTTGAGACCAGGGGCTCCCGATTTTGTGGACTATAGAGCTAATATGAGAAACAACAACACCAACAACAAACTGTACACTCGACCTCACCAAAACGGATGGTCCTGCCGACAGCGTACGTGCTACAATAATTGCAGATTCTGGACCATATTCTTCACAACAAACTATTATGCTACAACGAACAACTGTCTGTTAACAACGGACTGTCTGTCTGGACCACCCCCCCCGGTCTCGCGTAAAACGCAGAAGGCGATACGTGCCGCCTCCTACTCTGACCTGGACAGCATTTCACCCAGGCTTCTCTTTGGCGCACCGCCATTTGTATGTGAACAAAACAACAATACATAATCGACCTATAATAGTGAGTCCCTCGCGGGCGAACCAGGTCACAACAGATAGTAGGCGGGTGGTGTCCCAAGGTGCAACTCACCACCGCGCTGGCTCAGCGTGGCGGTGAGGATGCACAGACGGTGGTAGTGGCGAGAGGTGTGTATGGGCACTGTTCCCGCGGCAGTAATGCAAAGCGGAAAACTGCACCTGGCAACCACCGTCGCGGAAAATGTGGCCCACGAAGCTGGAGGAGTAGAGAGATTGGTAAGCACCACGTCAGTAAGCACCGTTCGCGGGAGAAGGGAGATAACCGCGGGCACCGCGGGGAGGTAGTGCTGCACCCTCCTCGTCAAAACACCACAGGCAAGAACCGAGCTCTGCAGAGATGGGTTGATGCGAGGAAAGTCGCCGCTTGGAAAATACGGAAGCAAGCACATCCGCAACGCGAGGTGGAACGAGAGAGACACGAGACCGCAGCGGCCGTCAAGGCGGCTGCGAAGAAGAAGGCACGACAGGGCGACCTATCGTTCGGCACGTTCAACGTACGCACGCTCGCCTACAGC